GGCGCCGCCGAGGTGGGAGGCCCGCAGCACGGCGGCGTAAGGCGGGGACGGGGATGCTGGGTCCAGCGGGCGAGGCGGCGGTTCCCTGGCCTGGAAGGTCACCGGGGTTGTGCGGGGTCCCCTCGCTGTCCGGGGCACAGCGGCTCCGAGGAGGGGGAGGAGGCGGCCGGGGCCTAAGTGGGAACTAAAAATACCCCGGGGGTGAGGGGGAGAGCAGACCCCCTGCCCCCTGCAAGCTTGACGCCCAGCAGCTGGGCCCCATCCAGAACTTCAGGGGGAAGGGGCGGCTGGGGCTCTTCCCGGGACGCCCTCATCACGCTGTGACCTTCAGGTGACCTTCAGTGTGGCCAGGTGCCTGCCTGCCGGGGGATGGGGAACCTGAGCTGCAGCCTCCCAAACCAGCTCCCTCTCCCTGTGGGTGGAGGGATTTCCCACCCTTCCCTGGGGGAGGCAGACAGGGGGCCTCCTGGTCTTCAGGCGGAGACCAACCCAGGTCCAGGCTGGCTAGGCCTCCAGGACTCCAGCCCCCACCTGGGCATTAAGAACCTGGGCAAGGCCTTTCCTGCAGCCCAGAGCCCTATCCTCTGTCCTGACCCGCAGACCCAGATATGGCACATGCCCACCTGAGTCTCATTCCTGGACGCTCTTTGTCCCCAGAGGCAGGCACAGCATTGGGTTTAGCAAGGATTCCCTGCCCTTGAGCTGGGTGCTGGTGAGGCCAGGATTGGGGAGTGGGCACCAGGGGCTGTAGAGGGGCAGATGGCCCACTGGGAGGCACAGGCTCATTCCTCCCGCCTGGCTTCTCCAGCCTCCTGGGGGACACCTCAGTCTATCACATCAGGTCCTCAAGGTCCTGGGGCCTTGGGCCCGCTCCCACCCAGCAGCACCTGAGAGCCCAGACCCTGAGTTCCCGCCCTGACCTGTCCTGCTCTGCCATTTCTCCACTGGGACCCTGGTCCAAGGCCAGGTCACAGTCCAGGAGTCTCAGCGTCCACCTCTGGGCAACAGGAACGCTCTCCTGGGAAGGGTCTGCAGTCAGTTGTGGCTCCCGTCCACCGCCACTTTCCCTTCAAGTTCTCAGGGCTGACCCTCACTCCCCCATCAGGGCCTCCCTACCCAGACCAGACGGTTTTGCAGATGAGGAAACTGAGGCCTCTGAGGTCTCATCCAGCTCCCTCCTCCTCCCACCTGTGCACGGCCCAAAGCCCCCTGCCTCTGTGGCTGCAGGGGCTTCTCCGGGGATGGTCTAGAATGGATGGCGTCCAGATCTCAGAAGAGAAGGGTCTGAGGCCCACAGGAAGCTCCTGAGCTGGGATCCCTGGGGAGTCCAGAGAACCGGACAGCGTCTGCATTGGGCACGAGGTGGTGCAGGCAGGACAGGAGGGGGCCGCGCCCCTTGCCACAGCCTCACTGTGTCTCCCTCCAGGCTCATGTGATGCCCAGGGGCGAGCTGTTCTGAGCCACGTGGTCCAGCCACCTGCCTGTCCCACACGCCCCCACCGAGCGCGTCAGCACCATTCACCAATGGAGTCCAGAGGGAAGTCAGCCAGCAGCCCCAAGCCTGACACCAAGGTCCCGCAGGCCACCACTGAGGCCAAGGCTCCCCTGGCTGTGGATGGCAAAGCCCCCTTGACCAAGCCCATGAAGAAGGAGGCCCAAGCAGAGAAGCAGGAGCAGCCAGCAGCCCCTGCCCCAGCACCTGCCAAGAAGACCACGGCCAAGGCAGACCCCGCCCTTCTCAACAACCACAGCAACCTGAAGCCACCCCCCACAGCACCCACGGCACCCAGCAGTCCTGACGCAACCCCAGAGCCCAAGGGTCCTGGGGACGGGGAGGAGGAAGAGGAGACCGCTAGTGGGGGCCCAGGGGGGCGTGGTCCCTGCCCTTTTGAGAACTTGACCCCCCTGCTGGTGGCTGGGGGTGTGGCTGTGGCAGCTGTGGCCCTGATTCTTGGTGTGGCCTTCCTGGCCCGGAAAAAATGATGCTTGGTGCCCAGGTGGGGGCATGGAGCCACTTCCTGTACAGGCCTGGGGAAACTAGTGCATGCAGAGTTCACACGTATTTAGCTACACATACGCACATACATATTCTACATATATATGAATATATGCCTCCCACGTACACACAGCAGGAGAGGGGTGGACAGGCTCACCTGGCAGAAGGCCCTGAGCCCACCTCTCCTGCCCCCAGCACTTCCCTCTCCCGACCTCCAGGGCAGAAGGAGCTGAGGCTCTGGGGTTTCCAGGGCAGGACAGGTGGAGCTCTGGCATCGGCAAGCGGGCTGAGCCTGGGCCGGGGCAGCCGGGGGAAGCCAGGAAGGAATGGACCCTGAGCATGGCCTGCGCCCAGCTGAACGTGTGTCCTTGTGAACACCCTCCTGTGTGCCTGTCCCCACAGGCCCCAGTGGTCCTGGGCCTTCCTGGTAGCAGCATCCTGAGAAGCCCCCAGGGCTGGTCTCTGAAGTACGGCGGGTGGGGGGCCACTGGAATGGGTTTTGAACAGGGTCTGCCCCTTGTGGGGACATTAAAGGGCATGGCTATTTCACTGTCCCATTTCTGCTCTTTGTGTGGAGCGGGCGGTCATCTGTCTGGGCCCGATGTAGTGGGGCTGACCTGTGGCCCTGTGGCGGGTGTCATATAGGAAGAGCCTCGCCTCAGTGCCACCTGCACCATCATCCTGCCCTGGCTGGGTGGACAGATGAAGCCTAAAGGCTGGTCTTGAGAAGGAGGCAGGGGGAACATCGGGGACCCCACCCCACAGCTGTGCCTGCCCACTTCCCCGCTAGACGGCCCCTCCTGCCTGCACCGGGTCCTCTAACAAGCGTATAAATGCAATAACACAGGTAGAGTAGAGCTGCTTGGCAGGTGACCGTGCCCCACCGTCCACTGCCCCATGGTGCCTGCAGGGAGACCCGCCGCGCAGCCCCTCCTCAGCGGATCTGAACCCAGCTTGGATCTGGGCCTAGTGGCAGGGGCCAGGCTCCCAGAAGGTGGCGGTGGGCACCGTGGGAACGTGATGTGCCCTTACCTGGCAGTGGCCACAGGAACTCTGGGCCTGAGTGGAGGCTGAGTCTGAAATAAACTCTGTTGTCTAAAGGCTGGCCTGGTGTCCTCACCTGCATGAGGCTGGGAGAGGCAGGGGCTTCCCAACAGGGCATGGGGGGTGGGGGTCACAGAACCACAACCCCGGGCTTTCCAGGGAGGAGGTCGGGAGCCCCACGTCCCTGTGACTGGGCCCACCTGCCACCACCACGCCTAGTACAGCCCTGCCCAGGTCCTGCCCCATCCTAGAAGACCCTACGCTGGCCTTCCTGGGTCCACAACCCCGGGCTTTCCAGGGAGGAGGTCGGGAGCCCCACGTCCCTGTGACTGGGCCCACCTGCCACCACCACACCTAGTACAGCCCTGCCCAGGTCCTGCCCCATCCTAGAAGACCCTACGCTGGCCTTCCTGGGAGCCCTGATCCCAGATGGACACCTGGGGGCTGCAGAATGAACCTCCAGGCCTGGGCTGCCAGCCACAGTGCACGGGGCAGGTGCAGCAGCGAGGAGATGGGGGGGGGGAGGCCTTGCTCCTCAGGCTGACCTCCTCAGCCAGGGAGGGCCCTTCCTCAGTCCCCTCTCTGCAATGGGTCCCCCACCTCCAGAGGGGTGCAGAAGAGGCTGCAGGGAAGAGGTTTCTTCCTCTGGTCACCTCCGGTCCGCAGCTCCCCGAGCCCACTTTGACCAGGTGTCCAACTGGCTGGCGCTGCCTTGATCCCAGCTGTAGGCGAGGCTCTCCAGGGTGGGCTGGAAGGGAACAAGGCCCCGCTGGACCCCAGAAGCGTTGCTGCAGCGTCTGTCATCCTGGACCTCGGGGAGAGCTCGCTAGCCACCTGCTACCCCAGGCCGCCTTGTGGCTGGTGAGGGGAGACACAGATCTCTCTCAGCCCTCTTGGTGCCCACCCTCCCCAGAGTGGCAGCCCTCATCCGTGTACCCACATCTCAGGCCTGGACAAATCTGGATAGTCCCCAAGGGGTGAAAACACCCAAAACGGGCCCCACTGCCCTCACACGGACCACCTGAGCCACCTACCTGAGCCAGGCCATGTGGAGAGAAAGGGCCCCACCTGCAGCTTCCAGCCCACATGCCCCACAGGTGCCAGTGCTGCCGCTCTGAGCGGTCACTGGGCCACCCACCCTTCTCCTGCCCTCCATGCCCCTCTCTCAATCTCTCCATTTATGGCTGGTGCCTTAAAACAAATCAGCCAACCCCCTCTGACGTTACGGTGGGTGCGGGAGGGAGTGGAGGTGGCTGAGGACGGGTCTGTCATCTTTGACCACAGCCCGGCCTTTTGACACTGTGACCTTCCACCCATGCCAATACCTTGTTATGTATCGATTCCTTATTAAAGGACATTTAGGTTGTTCCAAAATTTTTGCGATTTTAGACAGCAGGAATGGAACCCTCGTAAAGCCCTTCTGCACTTGTGGGCACAAGCGTGCAGGTCCTTTTGTTCGTGTCACTGTGATGAGACGGGCTCGACATTAGCCACCTTTAACCACGCTTACGTGTGCAGTCAGTGTGCTGACTGTGCAGCCATCACCACCGTGCACTCTCAGGCCTTTCATCTCCCCAGAGTCAGTTTGTCCCTGCCAGACACTCCTAACTCCCCGTTCACCCTCCGCCAGCTCCTGCAACCACTATCGTACTTTTTGTCTCTATGAATCTGACCGCTCCAGGTGTGTCAGTCAGTTTCCTGTTGCTGCGAACAGAATACCTGAAACTGGGTGATTGATAAGAAAATGCCATTTACTGCTTACAGTTTGGGAGGCTGGGAAGGGCAAGGTCAAGGGGGGCGTACCTGGTGAGGTCTTCCGGCTGGGGGCTCTCTGCAGAGTCCTGTGGTGATGCAGGGTGTCACCCAGCGAGGGCTGAGCAAGAGCACATGCTAACACACTTCTTCCTTTCCCTGTAAAGCCCCCAGTCTACTACCCAATAACCCATTAACTCATTAGCCCATTGACCCACGAATGGATTAATCCACTCATGAGGGCATAGTCCTCACTATCCAATCACCTTTCAAATGCCATTTTTGGGACGAAGCTTTAACTTAGCTTTGGAGGGGACAAACATTCAAGCCATCGCAAATAGTGTCTTGTGTTTTTATGTGTGTGTTAAACATGTCTGGTCCTAGTGAAGTCACTCGTGCTCTCTAAGCCTCAGTTTTCACATCTAGTCTAGGTGGAGTTAAACTGCATATGGTGTCTCTATTCAGTGCCTCCCACGTTGTGTACACATGTGTCTGTCGCATGGAGGCCACTTTAGTGATAGAGTTAGTGACTGTTATGTACCTAAGGCACCTTCTTTCTCTTTTTTTGTAAAGTGGAGAATTCCCAGACTTCACCGGATATTATAAGAGTGGACTTACCAGATTTTGTAGGTTGGTCAATTTCGTAAGGAGAGGATGTTGGAAGCCAATGGATTTAAAACTGTATACTTTTATTGTCTGTGGCAGTTAAAGTCAATTTTAGGAGTGGAGTATTATTAGCTGGTGGTGATTTATTGCAGGAAACATTCAGCAGGTATTTTGAGTGTCTTCCAGTTCCAGAACCTGGTAAAAGGTAGAATCAAAGTGGGCTGCAGGGCACCTCTCTGGGTAGACCAGGTGCTTCCCTGTGGGGCATCTGTGGACCTTTGTGTTGTCCTAGGCTTTGCATGGCTCCTGCCGCTGGCTCTGGGTTGGAGGCAAATTGCTTCTTTCCTTGGGCTCTTCTGCCTTAAAAAAAAAAAGGCTGAGCTGGAGACTGCAGGGCCTCGTTCCACTCCTTGACACAGGGATTCTGCCTTTAGTGCTGAGTGTGGTCTTATCAGGGAAACGGTGCAGAAGTGGAATTGCTGGGTCGTCTGCAGGGGGCCCAGCTTAAGTTCTACCAGGTGCCACGTGCCCGCTGCACCCATTGCCAGCGGGCCAGGGAGGACATGCCTCTCCCCCACCCTGGCTGACACAGGGTAGGGCGAAGCCCTCTGGTTCTTGCTGGTCCAAATAGGGGAAACTGGCCTCTTCTGGTCGTCCCGTCGCACTGATCCTACACGTGATTTTCACAAGATGCTTCGCCACTCAGATCTCGCCTCTTCACGCGGTTTGTCCATCCTTCTGTTGGCTGGAAGGCCTTCCCCTACTTTTTGTCAGATTTCCTTATGTATTTTGCACACTGAGCCTCTGCTGCTTTCGTGCATTGCAAACGTCTCCAGTCGGTGGCTGACGTGCCTTTCACTGTTTCTGGTGCACAGTAGTCCTGAAACCTGAGCTCATAAACATCACCATCGTCCCTTGACGACTTTTGGAATCTTGGTTGGAAGGCTATCCTGCCGTCCTCCAGGGTGATATTCGTGGCATTTACTTGCACCTGGGCCTTCAGTGTATCTGGAGTTCAGGTTTCTGCGGGGAGTCAGCCAGGGATCTCGCAGTCCTGCCTTCCCACCAGGAGACACAATGGCCTTGGCATCAGGATGAGGACCTCCCACCGTCTCGCCTCCCAGCACAGCCTGTTCTGAGCTGTGTCTGCCTGCACCTGCCACAATGCCACACTGCGTCAGTGACTGTGGCTCTGCAGCATCACTCCAATTTTCCACATGTGCTCAGTTACTGGAGTCCCTTCCAGGGAAATGTTAGAATCAGATATCTCTGAGGCCCCATGGGATTCTGATGCTCGGGAAAAAAAGTTGTCAGGACACCCAGCGCTGGGTTTATATTACTTTTATTATAGAACTACTTTTTTTTTTTTTTTTAAAAAGATGACCAGTAAGGGGATCTTAACCCTTGACTTGGTGTTGTCAGCACCACGCTCAGCCAGTGAGCCAACCGGCCATCCCTATGTAGGGATCCGAACCCGTGGCCTTGGTATTATCAGCACTACACTCTCCCGAGTGAGCCACGGGCCGGCCCTATTATAGAACTACTTTTAAGGCCTAATCAAATACCAGATATAAGAAGTATTCAGTGCATAAAAGTACACACTAATGCCAAATCAGACCCACGAGGAAATCTGGAAAACAGGAAAATTCTCATGGGCAGCACTGTCTCCAGGAAGAAACGTGTCCAAGGACAGGCCTCTCTGGGAGGCCCTGCCCACAGCGAGGCCTGGGCTATGTCACTACAAGGAGCTACCCCGCCAGGGCTCTGCAAGAACTCCCTGGAGACCCGCAGCCTTTGCTTTTTTTTTTTTTTTTTTCAGTTGGCTGGTACAAGGCCC